TGGTCTTAGAGGGTCTCTGTCTTGTATGGATGTCCTTAATCTTAGCCCTGGGGTACCTCTGGCATTTCCTCCTATCTCCTGCCTCAAATGTATTTTAAGGGAAATATTCCCTCTTTAACGTTAAGCAAAAGCGCATTGGAGAAGATGAAAATAATATAGTTTTCAGAGTTCACTTTTTATTGTTTGCTCACTTAATCCTAACAGAAATGAATACTCCAGGCTGTAGCATTTGTAAGGGGTAGAGCCAAAATCCAAATCAGATTTCTTCCGAACTGAAGATCATGGTCTTGGATTCTTAAGCTGTCTTGCATCCAAAAGACTTAAACACACACATAGGGCATCACATACAAAGAAGCCAAGAAATAATTACCAGCTGCTAAAGGAACAAAAGAAATGCTCATCACAAGACACTACCAGCTCCCATTCCCAAACAAGTGGAAGCAACACAAGCACTTTCGATGCCTAATTTCTCTGTGTCCTGCAGACCTCCAGTGATTGGCACCCGACTGTCCAGTTCTTTGGAAGCTTGTTAGTGCAAGACCGTACTAAGAAAAGCAAAAAGTAATAAACACTGATGTTTTCATCGTGCACAGGAATCCCAACAGGATATGAAAATCACGATACGTGTTGTAAAATCTTCTCTACAAATGACAACTACGCGATGCATACCGGCACTGTGACAGCTTCCAGCCTCGCCGCCTGCCGAACCGTCTCATAAACCAATTGTACACTGACTTTTTAAAAGATGCTTACGTTCCCTGGAGGCAAAAATGTATTAAATATGTTTTTGCCACATACCCAGGCCACTGTGTGAATTGATTTCAAACCTCAGTAACAGTCCAATAAAACATATTTAAATCTCTGCTACTTCTGTTCACAGCAACCAATGCTATTATTCCCTCTCTGCCAGAGATCCCCAACCTCTTCCTCTAAATTTATCAAGTAATAACAACTGTCTTACTTAGCAGCACGTACCATGTTCAAGCTCTCTGATAGGTACTTTGCATGTATTGTATCATTTATTCCTTTACGTAGTCCTATACGTAGGTACTATTATATCATTCCCACATTATAGATGAGGAAACAGAGGCCACTGCTTCAAGTTACAGAGATAGCAAGTGTCAAAAACAGGACTTTAACTCAGGTCTGTCTCACAGCAGGGCTCTTGCTCTTAACTGCTAAATGATGAACGCTATTAACGGGTCAATCATATTTTCCTTTACATTTTAAATATAAATATGATCATCCTTTAATATACTATTTTTTAGTTATATTTTATTGATTATGCTATTACAGTTGTCCCAATTTTTCCTCCTTTGCCCCCCTCCACCCAGCACCCCCGACTCTCTCAGGCAGTCCCTACATCACTGTTCATGTCTCTGGATCGTGTGTGTAAGTTCTTTGGCTGCTCCATTTCCTATACTGTATTTCACATCCCCATGACTGTTCTGTAACTACCTATTTGTACTTCTTTGTCCCCTCACCTCTTCACCCATTCTTCCACACCCCCATCCATTCTGGCAACCATCAAAACACTCTCTGTATCTGCGATTCTCTCTCTGTTCTTCTTGTTTGCTTAGTTTGTTTTTCAGATTCAATTGTTCATGGACATGTATTTATTGCCATTTTATTGTCCACAGTTTTGATCTTCTTTATCTTAAATAAGTTCTTTTGACATTTCATATAATGGTTGAGTGATGATGAACTCCTTTGATTTTTCCTTGTCTGGGAAACTATCTGCCCTTTGACTCTAAATGATTATTTTTGCTGGGTAGAGCAATCTTGGCTGTAGGTCCCCGCTTTTCATGATTTTGAAAATTTCTTGCCAATTCCTTTTTGCCTGCAAAGTTTCTTTTGAGAAATCAGCTGACTGTCTTATAGGAATTCCCCTATAGGTAACTAATTGCTTTTCTCTTGCTGTTTTAAGATTCTCTCTTTATCTTTAACCTTTGGCATTTCAATTTTGATGTGTATTGGAGTGGACTTCTTTGCATCCATCCTGTTTGGGACTCTGTGTACTTCCTGGACTTGCCTATTTTTTTCACCAAATTAGGGAAGTTTTCTTTCATTACTTTTTCAAATAGATTTCCAATTTTTCCCTCTTTCTCTTCTCTTCCTGGCACCCCTATGATGTGAATGTTGGCACGTTTGATGTTGTCCCAGAGGGTCCTTATGCTATCCTGGTTTTTTGGATCATTTTTCTTCTTGTTCTGACTGGTAGTTTTTTGCTTCCTCATGTTCTAAATCATTGATTTGATCCTCAGCTTTGTCCACTCTACTGCTGTTACCCTGTAAATTGTCCTTTATTTCACTTAGTGTATCCTTTGTTTCTGACTGGATATGTTTTATTCTGTTGAGGACCTTACTAACTTCCTTGAACATCCTTATAACCAGTTGTTTGAACTCTGCATCTGATAGATTGCTTCTCTCCATTTTTGTTCTTTTACTGGACTTGATCTGTCCTTTCACTTGGACCATGTTTCTTTGTCTCCTCGTTTTGGCAGCCTCCCTGTGCTTGTTTCTATGTACTAGGTAGAGCTGCTGTGTCTTCCTGTCTTGGTAGTGTGGCCTAATGTAGCAGGTGTCTCACAGAGTTTGGTGGCACAGCCTCCTCTATCACCCAAGCTGGGTACTTGAGGTGTGCTCTTTGTGTGAGTTGAGTACACCCTCCTCCTGTAGTTGAGCCTTGATTGCTGTTGGCAGGTCAATGAGAGGGATTTACCCAGACCTGTCAGTTTCAAGGACTGGCTGTGACCACTGACCACCAACCTCTGCTCTCCATGGAGAATCAGCTGTGCAAGGACAGAATGGCAGTGCTCCCATGTGGTCGGTCTATAGCCGTCTACTGGGTGTGCAAGCTCTGGGGTTTCATGGGTCATGTAGGCCAAGGTCATCACCTGCCTGTTTTGCCTGGGGCCACCCTGCCTTAGTTAAAAAGCAATCCAAGATGGTTGCTACTTGTGCTGTGCTTGGAGAATCCCAGGCAAAGCCAAGCTGTGCTAGGCTGGCTGTTGCTAGTGCTTGGCCTGAGGCCACTTAGCAAGGTGTCAGGGGCTGGAGACACACTGAGGCTGGCTGTTGCTTGTTTGAGAGAATTTCAGAAGTTGTGAAGCATGAGCCAAAACCAGCCATTCATATGGAAAAGCAGCATGGGTAAACCTATAAGTTGGGTAGAAGGAGTGGCTATAGATCTCCAGGGTGGGGCAAACAGTGTTAGCCAGTTCGATGGAGTCTCAGATATGGCACCAGCCTCCCAGCTCTGTGGCTCTATGGGGAAGGGTTCAGAAAAGGGACAATGGCCCCTACCTACCTTTCTGTCTGGGTAAAAGCTGTCCCCCAGCTCTCGCCTTAATGCCAGATACTTTAGCTCCTTCCCAAATGTCACTGGTGTCTTTCAAGCTGCTAACTCAATGCTGGAGATCAGAGGGAATGAGTCTGAGTAAGTCTGTGTGTGGGTTCCTGAAGAGGAACTGCGTGGGACTCCAGAAGTTTCTTCTACTGACTCAATCCCTGCTCATCTTTACAGCCAGAAGTCATGGGGACTTATCTTCCTGGCACTGGAACCCTGGGCTGGGCAGCCTAATGTGGGGCTGGGACTCCTCGCTCCCAAGATATCCCTCCTGAATTTTTATACACTGTGTGTGGATGTGGGACCAGCCCATTCCTCATCTGTGCCCCTCCTGCCAGTCTGGATAGATACAGTTTCTTTAATTCCATAGTTGTCACACTTCCATTCAACTTGATTTCTGATGGTTCTGAGTGATGGTTATTACGTATTTTAGTTATAATTTTGATGTGGTTGTGTGAGGAGGCGAGCCATGTGTACCTATGCTGCCATCTTGATTGGAAGTCAATACTCTGTCTCTCAAACCTGGTTACACATTTTAATCCCTATGGTTGCTTTTAAAATACCCAGTGCCCCAGGCTACAGCCCAGATTAAATAATTGGAAAACTCTGGGGGTGGCTCACAGGTGTCAATATTTTTTAAAACTCCCAGGTGATTCAAACATAGAGCCAAGTTTGAGACCCAGAGCTCTGAAAATTATTGAAACTTGAAAATATATTTCAGAAGGTAGATCAAAAGAGCTGAACTAACACAATTTCTAACATTTTTATCAACTACACTAACCCACTTTCCTCAGAAAACCATTAGGAAAAAAATCTAAAATTTCAAAAAACACCTCTCGAATCATAGAACACGATCCTCAGTGTGAGCTACATTCTTTTTAGCTGGTGCTACAGAGAAACACACAGGAATATACAAACATACACCTCAGTAGAGTAATGTGAGTTTCCAGCCAAAACGAGCCCATGGCCATGGGCCTGTGCTCACTATGGTTTCCACCCACATGTCTGAAAACAACAACTGCAGAGAATGAACTGCACTCCCAAATTAACTCACTACAATCCTTTCTCCAAAGCTAATTCTAATAGATTTCTTCCTTGACTTAGATCATTAGTAAATAAAAACCATTTGCATATCACAAGCAAGTCTGAAAATCCCAAGTTTTGTTTTCCATAATGGCAGACAATGTGATTGATTACTTATGGGGTCACATGACCAATCAAGAGAGAATTTTAACCACTCACTGTGAATAAGAAAATAATAGAATTAACATACAATTTATAAACTTGTTCACTGTTCTTGTTGGTTATAAGAAAACTAGTTATGATAAATATTTGTATTACGTACTTTTATCAGAATATAATTATATCATTTTTTTAAATCTTCCTTAACTCTGTTTCTTTATAGAAAATTCTGCTTTGGCCAATCTTGCTTATTTATACTCCCAGCTACATCATAAACTGGCAGAGCTGAATGTTTCTCAGTGTTTGCTTAATTAAAATTTGATTCAAATAAGAAAAAGACATTAAAATCTTTCTTATTTTTAGAAGAGTTATACTTTACTCTCAGAGCAACTTGACGTGATTTTTCTTAATGTTTCAAAACTAAGGGTTCTGGCCCAAGCATCATTCACATGAAAAAGTGTCTACTCACAGGGATCATCCAGTTGGCCAGGTCGCCGTACTTGGACACCTGCATCGCGCCGAGCATGGTCAGGTTGATGTGTCCTCTAAGGAGGAGAAAGAGGAGATGAAAGGCAAACTCCACAAACTCTATGTCCCCTTCACTTGCAATCGCCAGCAATTAAAGTCAAGAATTCTACATTCCCCAAAATACATTTACTTTTTCCCGCCCAACACCTGATTTCCAAATATATCAGCTCAAGCTGACATGGAGAAATAACCACTAAGAGTTCTTTTAAAAAAAATTATAAGTTTATATTGTTTCCGAAAAACAAATTAAAAACAGGTGTACACAGCGAGCTTGTTTCCTTTGGTGAGGGAGAATGTGGCTTGATTTGAAAGCAAACACTAACTAGAAAATGAACACAGTTTGCAGAGAACGCTAGGATCCTCAGGAAAAAACCCTGTAAAACTGTTTACTTCAAGAGCATTGGCACACAGATATATATTCCATTTGGGGGGCTCTTTTAATAACAGCAGCCTGGATGTTCCAACTCCCAACGTTTGAAGTGAGTAATTCCACATCTTTGTGCAGCTCAACAAGCCCAAGATGGTTTTCTGGCTGGAGGTGTGTCTGGGTCTCACAGCCTTGCTCACACAGCCAATGACTCGGGTCGGGCCACAGTGTGAAACCAGAGCGGCCCACTATTACATACCCTCTAATCATCGCAAATGACTCATCGCTGGAGAAATAAGAGGCTCCTGGAAGAACAGTAACTGTTTCCTTGCCTACACACAGGCACGCGTGCATGCAAAAGGGAAAAAAAAAAAAAGAAAGAGGCTATTAGATTTCTAAGAGTATTGTGGTGGAGAGAGGGGTCGATATTTCCTGCTTCCTAAGGAACTGAGGCTCCCTTTACCGAAATGCAGGGGCAATTTGGGGTGTGCGGGACACTGTCCGTTCTGTGGGGAGGAACACTTTGTCAGTGACATTGTTCGCCCTTGCATGCTGATAATGAAAACAGACCAACTTTTAATTTCATTATCATTTTGAAATTCTCTACACAATGCAAACCCTGTTGCCTATCCCCTTCTGGGACTCCCACTAGCCCCGTCCCCAACACCAGCCCTGCTCCTGGGAGGCACCTGTCACAGTCCAATGCTACTATGGTCATTGGAGAAAACAGGTTGTGGAGTAACCTTGAAGCAATGCAATTCTGAATAGAAGATTACTGGAGATGCTCAGTTATTTCTTAAAAAACCAGTGAATAAGAGGACACACCTAATTCCTTAATATCATCAGGCTTGAATCTCCTCTTTCGACCTCAATCAATCTCTCTCTCTATTGCTCTCACTCTCTCTCCCCCCTAAGTTTCTAGTAAAACCCTAGGACTTGGGTGAAACTGCGGAATAACATTCTAATACTGGCAAATATCTTGAATGCTAACTTCCAAGAGGAGAGGACCTCTCTCATGATAAAAGTTCACAACTGGGCAAGATCTTCAAAGTCATCCAGTCCCCACGAAACTAATACTATCACCTGACTCATACCAAAGTTCCTTTCTTCTTGTGACCTACTTCCTGCCTGTTCAGGAGCATCAGGCACCCAAGAGAAAAGTGTTCGCAGGCCACTGTGCCAAAGGTAGGTGAGCTGTGTGAGAACACCTGGTGCACGGCCCCCTGGGTAACAGGGCAGACGAAAGGAAAGGGAAGCAAAGTTACTGGACTAGAGAAAGGCTCCTGGGCACAAGAAGACCAGGGTGGTCTGACCATGCCCAGCTGTGCAACACAGCTGTACTCAGCCTCTCAAGTCTTCTCCAAAAGCTACAGATGGAGCTCTGTAACCCTCTCCATTTGAGCTCAGATATGGAGAGAGTAAGACTGTTTCTATCATGCTGAAATATTTATCCCCCAAAGGAGTTTGATTCTAAGTAAAGGAAATGTTTGCACATCTTTCAAAGTACCACAAAGCTGAAAAGCTTTAGAAAACACCTTCTGGTGTGGTTAGTAGGAGCTTTTAGACAGCACATAAGATCTGAAGGATGAAATGCGGTAACGCAGGCAAAGCCCTTTGTCTGGCGCCCGGCACAGAGAACGGGCTCCGCAGCCATTTGCTTTTATTATCCCTCCGCCAAACAGTGCTGCTGCTCCTCAAGGAATAAAGGCCCCAGGACCAAGCAAATGACTTCCACGGTGGGGTCATGCAGCCTGCCTGTGAACTTCACGTTTCGGGGCAGGCAAAATACAACTACACCTCATCCTAACACAAGTTCCATGTCCAGCAAATTCAGCTCCTCACCAATCCTGTGAGCTGGAGAGGCAAGGAGGAATATTTTGTAGGACAACAAAGCAGAGAAACAGAAAAACCTCAATCCCTTTGTTCTCTGTCTTAAATCACACTGACTTCCAAATAGCAACTTTCCACTGGCTGATAGGACATGGAAGGCATCGCGTACCACTGTGCAGGAGACCCCGAGATCCATGCTGAGGGCTCTCCCCACCCCCACCGACATGACTCATGACGCATGGTTTTATTAAACAGCCCAGAAAACGGCTCTCGTGGAGAGAGCTGTCAGGCGCCCGATAATGCATTCTGGTGTCTTAACAAATTACATTCTTCAGAAGCAAAGTTAATTTTCAGCACTTTAAACATCCAATAGCTAAACAAAAGTAGATATCCTCAGGTGGAATCCATGCTTTTCAAATACAATGTCCAAATGTGGTCAGTACCCTGAAGAAAAAGGGCTTTCTTACTTGGTCTTTCCTGATTGATTCCTGTCTCCTCCCACTTCTCTGTGTGTAAAAGTCTAGATGCTGCCCTGACTGGTGTGGCTCAGTGCATTGGGCATTGTTCCACAGACCAAAAGGTCGCTGGTTCAATTCCCAGTCAGGGCACATGCCTGGGTTGCAAGTATGGTCCCCAATTGGAGCAAGGTAACTGATTGATGTTTCTCACATCAATGTTCCTCTCCCTCTCTTTCTCTCTCCCCTCCCCCTCTCTCTAAAAAACAATAAAATATTTAAATAAGTAAATAAAAATCTAGATCCTTTCATAATATTTGGGCAAAAGAGTTTCTGAATTTCATGAGTTATACAAGTCCTTTAGCTCAGGACTTAACAAGTCATTCCCTCAACACCAAGCCGATGCCCACCACAGGCCTAGAAAAACGTTACAAACAAAACGCAGATGCCCTCCACGAATGGTTCTCAACTGTGACCCCACCAGAATCACGTGCAGGGCTGGTAAAAACGCTGCCCGCGGAGCTCAGCTCCCAGAGTTGATCATTCTGGAGGCTTGTGGGGGGGGGGGGGGGGTGGCTCAGCATTTCCCATTTCTAACAAGTCCAAGGGGATGGTGGTGCTGATGCTGAGGGTCTGGGGCCTCCACCTGAGAACCACGGCCCTTAGCAAAGAGGCATACTGTCCAGCAAGAGAGACATACACACAAATAAGCCGCCAAAGGATTTGGAGAGGAAAATAAATTACCAATAAGGAGCTGGGCGAGAAAGAGTAGGGAGACAGAGCAAAACCAAAAAACGACCTGGTGAATGGCCCAGGAAGAGCCAAGGGGCGGAGAAGGAAAGCAGGGGCATCCCAGCCACGACCGGAGCGGACCCCAGAGTGCCGTGTGGGGGCCTCACACCCTTGCAGGGCGCACTGGAAGACCGAGCTGGAAAGGTCAGCTGCATCCCGTCAGAGACCCGGGATGCTGTGCTGCGCGCGTGCCCCTGTCTGCAGGCCTGTGGGACTCCGGATGCGGCGCGTACACCCACCGAGCAGGGCTTCTCCTGCGCGGCACGACTGACGTTCTGGAGGGGAGAACTCCGCGGAGGGCTGTTCTGTTTACCACAGGAAGGCCTGCAGCATCCCTGCCCTCTGCTCACTACATACCAATCACACTAGATCCCAGGAAGGCACATCAATCAAAAATGTCCCCAGACACGGTCAAATGGCCTGGATGTCACCTCTTCTTGCCCATTGAGAACCACAGCTCTAGAGACCCGAGGCAGGGGCCAGGACTGTACACAGCCATGAGAGTCACATGATGGGTTTTTCTACAGCAGTCTGCATCAAAGGCAAGTAATGTCTACATTACGTGTACATTAAAATCAGAAAGAAATAGAAAAGAATGCAAAATGCTCTTAACATGAAAGCTAAAACATACAAGGGGCATTTAGGAAACTTCTAATTACACTGGGAGACTGCAGATCTCCACAAGATCTCTGAAATGTTCTAATCGCTGCCTTCTGCACCTTCACAAAGCCCAGCTTTCCAGAGAGCGTGGTACGGTGTATCGGGAGAAAAGTCCTGACACCAGGAGGAGAAGACTGGGTGCGTCCAGTCCCCAGCAAGGTGATCTGAGCACATCAATTCACGTCTCTGGATGCAGTTCCCCAGCCTGTACAACGGGGTTTCACTTGAGGCTCAAACACTGTACACCTGTAAAGAGGATGCTGTAAACTCCCGAGTACTCTGAGGGCAGTGATTTTTACATAACCAGATGAGATTATTATTTGGAAACAATGATCCGTAGAAACAGTTCTGTTATCATTTTAAAACTTAATACACTGGTCTGACCCAGAAATACAATCCTACATTCATTTCAAGGGACATGGATAAAAATAGCCTTTCAAATTAACACACACACACACACACATACACGCGCACGCACACAAAACGGCCTGATCTCTCAGGTAATTTCCAATTTGAGGAGTTGAGAAAACTGCCTATTTATACTCTGCATTCTCTAACTCAAAGTATTTCCTCCCTCATTTGGACAACTCCAAAATCAAAAACATCACCGATCCCACAGAGGGCTTTGATGAAAGAATAACAAAATTATCAGGCTGATTTGCCACGTGGCTTCCAACGGTGATGTAGAATCTGAAAGCACAGCAGTTTCAGATTCTACGTGATGGTTCAGAAGCTGAAACACACATCGGTGGGATGGGGACACTTTTACACCTCAGATGCGCCCACCACCCAACAATGTCATTGAAAAAATTAACTCTTTTTCCCAAGGAAAGTGGGTTCCATGACCTCAAGCCTGACATTTAGAAAATAGAGTTATGCATTTTGCAAATAACCCGCTAACATCACAAGTTCATTAAACCAAGCAGCAAATATTTTCACAGATCAATGAGCTATTGCTAAAAGGCACAGCACAATTAAATTACAGCCTTGGTTAAATGTCACTGCTTTACCTCAGTGGACTTTTCAGAGTCGAGCTGTGTTAACTAATTCAACTATTCAACCAGAAGCTGTTTTATCGCCCAGAATCCTGAGCATGAAACATCGATGCTACTTGGCAGCTGGCCTTTGGGCCCAGCTCGTCTCTTTGGAGAGACAAGCTACTGCTGCTGGATGTGGAGAGACACTAACACTCTTTCACGGGCAGAGTAAACGGGAGTAAGGGAAGGGCACAGAAACCCAGGCTAGAACGGTATAGCTAAGAGCTAATAAAAATTAGCTCCTGACGGGCAGCCGCCTCCGAAGCATCATCTTCAGGCCTAGCAGAGTGGCCATGGGGCCTCAAGCCTGGGCAGCGACGATGGCCAGGGGGTCTCACCTGCTGTCCTCCCCCAAGCTGCTTACACTCGCCACCTTAGGTTCTAGTCAACTGAATAAGTAATAATAGAAGGAAAAGCATCCGAGTGTGGACATGACGAGGGTAGAGTCCCCAGTTCAAAGAAACTATTTATTACTCATGTCACTGGGTCCTATTTTATGGCAATATAACCCCCTTAAGCACCTGGAACCTTTGAGGGATGCTCTCTGACCCTGAGGATGACTAGCGGACAGTAAACAGCTCCTATCACAAAGCCCCGGGGCCCCAGGCCTTTCCTTTTGCCACTGTGGATCCACGCCCCCACCCTTCTCATCAAGAGAAGGTGGGTCTATTGCATCCTGGGAAGGTCCCAGGGGAGGTTCCGGCAGGAGACCCAGTGGGAGAGAACGCGCCCTCATCCCCACCCAGGCAGCAGTGAGACGCCTGCGTGCTTCTCCCTGGCAGGTGACTGGCCCTCTCTGACAGCTGCCCCCCAAGGCCTGCCCAGGGCTCCTGGCAGCTCCCTGCGGTACCTTGCCCTCCTTTCATGGTTGCGCTGATCTTGCCCACATCCCTGTCAGCTGTCCCTCCCTTTCATTCTCCCTCTTACAGCCAGGACCCAGACTGGCTGAGCCACCAACACTCTGGCCATTCCACGCAGCTCCACCTGCAATTGTGCCTTTAACTCTGTCTGCCCTAAATGAGAGCAGACCTCTGACAAGAAGCCAGGCAAAGATGGGACTTGGAAGGCTTATCTCCCCTCCTCGACGAACAACAGACTGAACAAGCTCCAGCAAAAACAAAGAATCAAGCCCAACTCCTTACTAGCACTGGGCACAGAACTGAATCAATAGCCAAGGAAAACGCTGGGAAAACATGTAATTTAGCAAGTTTACCTGCATTGATTAGATCTGCATCGACTTCATTTTGTAATGGGTATGGGCCCTGTTGAACAAAGCAAATTGTCAACGTCAACTGGCAAAGAAGCTTCTCACAGAACCGCACACTGACACTGCAACACAAGCAACTTCTCCAAAAACTCAAGGGAACTGGCATCAGAAGACTTCGGGTGAATCGTGAAAAAGTAACTCTGCTGTTTGAATGGCTCTGTTTCTCATATTGATTGGTCTGCTCTACACTGATAACTTTGTGACTGGGTTAATGAAAAGTATTTTCTACAAATTACCAAAGTTTGGAAATGACATTATTAGAAATACATGTCATAAAACAAAAAGGAACTATTTACTACCAATGCATCTAATGTTATTTATAAACCTTCCTCTTGTATCAATAAATATAAACTAAACAGATGCATTATTTGGCTGGAAGGACCCAGAGAGGCAAATGGGTCACTTTTTAGTATGCAGAAGCGGAAGATTTGAATGCAGGGTTCTAACCTTGTCTCTCATAACATCTAAGTTTTGCAACCCTTGCTTTCTCTTTGCCTACTTATTCTCAATAAGTTTTCTTTCGGATGTCTTTGTATAAGGCATCCCTAATTATCTGAATGGGGAAAGGGGTTTGTAACATAACATACATTGATCAAAAGAGGGAAAAGGATAAAAGAGAAATGAGAAAGGCATGATGGACCCAAGAATGAGAATATGAAAGCTGTAAAATTTCAACAGACTTTTTCTAAGGGACCCAATATTTATCCTTTATATAAATTGAAGTGATAACTAATGTTTAGACCTACGTACATTTTCCTTTAAACACTGACCATGGGTAATTCACATAGTCTTACTTCCCTATCTCCAAAGGGAGGGAACCAATCACTCCAGAAATCCCTAAGGTGCATGAATAATAAGTCTTTGACCTGACGAATCCGTTTTCATTCAGACACACATCTTTTTTATCTTTGAAAATGGTCATGATTATCACCTCAGTTAATCACTATTGATGCCATGCCTGTGATCACTACTGATACTTCAAGTACCTGATATATAGTTGCTCTATATACCATTTTTATTGCATTAGTGGTTGTGATTTACTGAGGAATAACAAAGATTAGGAATATTATAAATTGGCAAACTATAAGTAATCTCTGCCACAGCTAATAATTAAATTAAAAATATCACCCAAGAAGCAAAACTGTTTCTCACTTTCATTATAGTATTGAATAAAAGCTGTAGCCAAATTCTATGAGAATACTGAGCTCATCTGGAAGGTTAATTCTGAAGGTTAATTTTCTGAGGGAAAATTCTACCCTTTTGGACAACAGGACCTTAACACAGTAATTAGATGAGAAGAATTTCTAAGACTTTTTGAATCATTTAACTGTCAGAAAGTACCCCTGCTTTAAATAGATACCTTACTCTGTGTTTTTCACCCAGTGCCCTACTTAACTTTACTTCACAAAGAATTGCTGATGACCTCCACTCTTGTCCAAACACAAGAGAGTTACAAAGAGCGAGCTGGGCAGGAGCCCATGAGGCCTCTGTAAGCAGGCACCCAGGGGAGACAGGAGCCCACAGTCTGACAAAGCAAGAGCAGCCACACGCCCAGGAAACTACCATCAACTATGGAAAATACAACCTTACAGACTCACGACTCCCACTAGCCTGTGGGGAAGTCAAATATGTTATTGTGATGACAGACAGACAGAAAGATAAGTTTGGGAACTTTAAGCTGATAACTCCCAGTCATATGATTTCACTATACAGAATATCTCGTCAACTAGATCATATAAATAAAACTTTAATTTCTATCTTACCAAACCCAGGATTCCATTTTCGCTTTGCAGATGAACGGTCATGTTTGGGCTGATGAAGTTGCTGGCCAGAAGTGGGATTCCTATGCCCAAATTAGCTGGAAAAAAAGATGTTAAGGTAGAACGCAGAAAAGGTAGAGAGATTATGCCATAAATCGTCTACGTATATAAATCTGAAGAGAGGCCTTCTTTAAAGGCAATCTCTTGAATTGCAATCCCTCTGAATGTAATCACTGGACATTCTCCAACCACCTCTAGGCACTACTTTGTAATTTTTTAAATCACTAATTAATCACAGCTTTGTCAATAACATTAATATGCTTCCCATAAATATATATCAAAGTGGTGGCTTTGGAAAACAAGCCAGGAGGTCATTTACCTTCTAAGACATATTTTATTTTCCTTAATATGCTCAGCAAACACATTGGATTGATGCATTATGACTTATGACTGGTATATTATTAAACATGGCTTGACCTTTGTTTAAAAGCCATTCTGACTTTTCAAAACTCCAGCTAAAAATAAGGACAATCTAACATACTTAAAAAGGGCTACCATTTCTAGATTTTAAAAAAAGTGCTGGGACAAGACCAGAATGTCTGCATCGAAGTGTTTCCACGCCTTGGGTCACCGTGGCAGCATTCACTGGAGCTAAGTCTTCCGAGTCTTCCCTAAAACATGAGCAGGGGAGTGAGTCTCGGGGAATACAGCTGAGACCCTATAAAGAGGCACATTGAAGGGCTAACGGGGGATGTTGAACCTTCTTCTTTGGACATCAAAATAGGGTCTAACCTGATTTGTAGGCAGACAGGATGGATCGGAGACACTAGAACAGAAACTAGTAGACACAGTCGACAGTGTGGTGGTTTCCCAGAGGCAAGGGGTCTGGGGCGGGACAAGTGAAGGGGCCAAATACATGGTGACAGAAGGAGCTCTGACTTTGGGCGATGAATGCAATGCACACGGTTGATGTAGCACAGAACTGCACACTTGTAACCTCTATGATTGTATTAGCCAATGGCACCTCAATAAATTTAATTTTTAAAAAGAGGGACACACTTCCTAGAACTTCTGACTGTGTTGTCCACTATCCCTGCAGAATGGCAAACCCTCATAAAAATTTAAATTAAATTGAAGTCCAAACAGTCATTTACTAAATTACCTCTTTCCATCTCTTTTTTGAGAAAGTAGTTAAAGAAGAACTCGAATCATTTACTGAACACCCTTATAAAACATTCTTTCTAATGTTCTAATATTTAAAACTCTAGAAATAAAAGAGTATATACTCAGGGGATCTTTGTCGCAAGAAACAAGGGGTTGTTAAGAAGTTGGGTCTTACAGAAAAAGACAAATACCGTATATTTTCACTTATATGTGGAATCTAAAGAACAAAATAAACAAACACACAAAACAGAAACAGACTCGTAGACACAGAGAACAGACGAATGGTACCAGAGGGAAGTGGGGTTGGGGTTTGGAGGGCTGAGAGATAGAGATGAAGGAATTAAGAAGTACAAATTGGTAGTTACAAAATAGTCACGGGAATATAAAATACAGCATAGAGAATATAGTCAATAATATTGTAATAACTATATATGGTGCCAGGTAGGTACTAGAAATACTGGGGCAAATATTATCTAACCACTATGCCGTACACCTGAAACTAATACAAAATAATACTGAATGTAAACTGTAATTGAAAATAAAAATTTTAAAAAGTTGGATCTTATATGTTTCATTGAGTATGCAAATGCCAGAATATAGAGAAAATAAATGGCACTGGTTATAACTAGTACTTCTGAGATTTGAAACCCGCATCTTGGGTAATCTCTACTCCCAATAACATTTAGTCAAATGCCAAACTGCACTAAAATCCACTGTGTATGAGCCAATGGCTAAGCAAATCTTTGGTCACCATTCTGTTCTAAGAAGACAAATGGACTACAATTCCAATATCACCCATCTTGATAGCTTTAGGTTATAAGCCACATTTTGGGAAAAACAAAACAAAACTGATCAACTGCTTTAAAAGTTACCAGGACTATAAATGAAACCCTGTGCGTCCGGCCTGGCAGCCTGACACCCTGGGAGAGGTGAGGACCACGTCTGCGGGCAGGCCCACGAGGACGAAGGATACCATACATGCCGTCCTCAAATTCGAGCGCTGCCCGCTTGATGATGCGTTCCCGCACGTTATCTCCCGGCTTTCCAGACCTGGCTTTCACATCTCCCTCTTTCCGGATCGACATTCGCTTTAAAATGAACAGAAACAAATTATCCGCACTTGAGGCGTATCCTTGGATCTTTATCACTGTGAACGTTCAAAGTTTTACTAGAAAAAAAATGAACTCTGTCTCACTACTGCTATGACACAAATCTGTAAAGTAACAGCATTTTTAAAGAAAGAATGTGAAATGAAAGCGTAACCTTTAGGAAGGATGAAGGGGAAAGAGGTCAGGTTCCCCTGAAGAGGAAGATGCACTTGCTCGGACTCTTTGAAGCAAATGACGCCTCTGCCCCTGCTCGCTGGCTGCTACTCCTGCTGCCTCTCAGGACTCCTGCAACTGCGCTCTCCTCGGGGGCTCGGGACGGAGCCAGCACAGACACAAAAGGAACAGACCTTGGACTCTTGTTTCTGCAGGCCTGGCAGAATGTGTTTGGCTGGTGTCGCTTCTCTCAACTGCCTGCTTCCACCTGCAGAGTCTAGACTGGTTTTGGCCACAGGTACACCAGAGAGATCACAGAAATATCCAGAAACCAGCCAGGACAGTATTTCCAACACTAAATCTCCTTAACACAGACTCTGGTCTTTATTTGCAAATGTCCCATCTTTCCTCCCTAGCCCACTGACATTAGTTCAGATTGCAGAATGCCATTCTATTTGGTGTCCACAGGGTAGAAGGCATCTCTGATTCCCCGGGACCACCACCCCCACCACTTGCATATCTGTTTTGTTGCTGATTCCTAGATACTTCCGAATCTTGGCATCAATTCTGGCCCAGACGGTCATTTTTGCAAGCTCTGAGTTACTTGAAATACCTCCAATGCTTCTGGAAGCCACCCCTGGCCACAATCTCACCGCCAGCTGCCTAGAACCTAAAGCCTAATGCTAATGGGAAGTGATGTTCATTGTGGACTGTATCAAGTGGCAAACACCTTCAAGGTAGACAGACTTTTCTGAACAGTCAAACATTACGAGCCCAGCAGGGGTGAAGTCAGCAGAGACTGATTATCCTTCCCTACCTTCCTGGACAGGGTAGATACAAAACTTCACACCCTACCCCAGGGCAGTTACAGAGCATGGAGAACACAGCCTGCAACCACAAGGCACTGCTGAGTGGGACAGTCCACAAAGGATCGTGTCCCCTCTCAGTGGACACATGAGAAGCTCCTTAACTAAGTAAGATCCAGAGCAAGGCTTCCCGCTCAGCACCGACTCCCTGTTACGTGGAATGACCCCAGAGACACACATCTCTGAGAAGCAGATCCGTAAATGTTAGGCCCGGAATTAGATAAAAGTAGCCAAGAGGAACCCGAGGCAGGCTCCAGACTGTCTCAGCAAGGAAGATAGAAAGTACAGAAAGTACAAAGAGTGCTGAACAAGATAAACCGCCTTGTGCATGACCTTGTCCTTGCAGAAAAGTAACCATTGTTGCAAGCAGAGAACATAGCCATGTGTGGTCTCTCGAGATAGCCAATTGCTAACAGCTATGTCTGCTTCTGTATTTGCTTGCTTGCTCACCCCAATAAAAACCCTAGGCTGTAAGCGCCAGGCGCGACTCTCATTTGCAGCCATTTTGGCACCGTGTCTCCGGACACCTCGAGAGTTCGCCCCTGCGCAGGTAAAACTTTGGCCAATAAAGTTCCATCTTAAACTCCTGAAAGCTTCCGACCATTTGTTGCTTGCATTGGTGAATGCTACATAAATAGTGACAGCGGAACTAAGTCAACTACCTCAATTCTCTTCTCGTAGTTTTCTCCCTTGATAATGCGATGTACATAGATCTTAGGAATATGGATGTCTTCTGCGGCAAATGATCCGACATCCACAATTTCTTCAACCTGTACACAGAGAAAAAAATAATTAAATAGTGAAAGCTTAAACCGAACACTTTTTATTTAAGAAATGAAGTATAAGCATCTTCACTTCCAACTTAGGTTGTGTACACAGTACAAATACACACACAGACGTGTATATACATGCCAGTCGGTGGGTAGGCAAAAGTAGGTTTACCGTGTAAGTATGCGAAGCAGTTTATCCTCATATTTTAATTTATTGATTGTTGTATTATTTTCCATATGAACTGTAAACCTACTTTTGCCAACCTTGTATATAGGAAAGAATAGGTAGGGTGTGTGTGTGTGTGTGTGTTTTATATCATGCCTTCTAGACCGGCAAAAAAGAAGAAATTCAAATACATGTGTCTAAACATCAAACACCGAGCACAAAGCTTCAGAACTTCTTCAGAACTTAGTCTTTGCCCAAAACAGCTTCAGTTACAAATTTGTCAAGTACAGCTGCTTGAACTTTCACTAATTGCAGTTCAACTATGCTCACTTGAAAGAACATCCCTTAAGACCATTTTCAAAATTAATGGGAAATTGATCATACCAAAAACAAAAATCTGTAACAACATCTGCTTGGTCCATTGAAGAGCTTTTAAATAGAGATACAAGTGCTGTTTCTAACGGTTTTTAATTTGTTCCTATTGGCTTCCTAGAATCGTGAACAAAATGCAACTGCTGAAATAATTTTACTTAAAGACCAATTATTAATTTCAATGTGGAAATTTCAAAAAGCAAATATTAACTAATAACTAGAAATACCCAATGTAATTAGAACTGATTCACAGAGTAAAGGGACATTTTATAGCAATATGCAATGCCCCAAGTAAGCCAGCTATTTTAGAATTCAAAAAGGAAAAAATGGTTTGTTGTTTTTTTACATCAACATAAAAAAAATCAGAACAACAAGGATCAAGAAAAACCAAGGTCAATGTTGTTCTGGTCAAAGAATTACCTCTCAGGTGCCAAGAAAAATGGTATCTTGAAGACTGAGCACACAGATACCATTCCCAAAGAAAACAGCTCTTGCACGTGGAGAATTGTGCCAAACTGGTCCCTTAAATAACTATTGGACTCTCAGGAGTGTTTGGGGTAAAGTAGCCCTCACACCACACCCCTCAAACAATGAAAGAAAACCAGGAATTACAAGAGCAGTCTTAGTGTGCACTGCTCCCAACTAGCCAAAAGGGAATAGGACATGGTGGGTAAGAGCTCTCTTCTCTGATAAACAGAAGGGTCTTGACCCAAACAGAACGAGAACTCGAGGAAGAGTCAGGAACCAGGGGCCATCTAAACTGAAACAGGGCGCAGAGCTGCGTGCCAACCCCCCTCTGCGAGTGAGTAACGGGGAGGCGAGGGGACTTCCCATCACCGGACTCCGCACCTTTCCTTCCGAACCTGTCTGTGCTCTGGTGTCCCCTCCCCAAGACAGTGACCAGGTGAGAGGAGGCGGAGGCAGGCCATGCAGAGCAGCTGAGAGCATCCTACCACCTGTTCAGCCAATGGGACTTCCAGCCATTAGGGTTCATTCCCATCTTTATGCTTATGCAATTCAACCCTTCAAAGGCGTTCGTGACTTTAAAAATTCATGTATGCGTTAAATCCATTATCCTGAGGATAAATATGAAGACTTACTATTCGTGAAAATATTTACCACAGCACTTGTTAAAATATTAAGGAGTTAGAAACAACCTAAATGGTTAATGACAGGATAAACATAAAATATATATTCACACCACAAATCATTATTATGTTCTCATAATACTTAATGATACCTCATAATTTAATATTTCCTAAAAATGCAAGATTTTGTATTGTTACATATAGACTCTTTCATCCTCTATGTAAATTACTTATACCTACCAAAACTACACAGAACTACTAATAATTACTGTCTCCAGGTAACAGTACAAGTTATTTGTGCTTCCGTTCTACTTTTAGAATCAAGGAAACCTACAAGGCTTTATTTTTTTTAAAGACCCAATAGACACCAAGTAGGTAGTTTCCAAAACTGGAAAACAAGCCCTGGCTGGGTGGCTCAGTTGGCTGGAGCACCGTCCCATACACCAAAACTGGAAAATATGAGTAGGGGATCTGATAAATTCCTTAATTAGCTAGACAGGTACCACTAAGAAAACTGGTGGCTCCTAAACACTGAAAGCACAACATTATGAAATAAATTAAGAAAGCCCCTTTGCCTACATTTTTTGACATAATAATGTGAATCTTTCTCCATGTCCAAGGCTGTTCCAAAAGCTCAAGACTTTCCATCTCTTGCTTGAATGATTACAGCAGCGCCATCACTGGTCTCCCTGCCTTTACACTAGGACCCACTAACTGAAATAAAGAACAACTTACGGGGAAATGGCAGAAGAGTGGATGAAGCCAAGAATCAAATCAATGATTTGGAACATAAGGAAGAAGAAAACAACCAATCAGAACAACATGAAGAAAAATAATTTTAAAAAAACAGGATAACATAAGGAGCCTCTGGGACAACTTCAAGCATTCCAACATCACATCACAGGGGTGCCAGGAGGAGAAGAGAAAGAGCAAGAAATGGAAAATCTATTTGAAAAAAAGTAATGAAATAAAACTCCCCAAATTTGGTGAAGGAAATAGACATTCAAGTCCAGGAAGTACAGAGAATCCTAAACAGGATGGATGCAAAGATGCCCACTCCAATACACTTCAAAATTAAAATGCCAAAGGTTAAAGATAAAGAGAGAATCTTAAAAGCAGCAAAAGAAAAGTAGTTATCTACAGGGGAGTTCCCATAAGACTGTCAGCTGATTTCTCAAAAGAAACTTTGCAGACAAGAAGGGATTGGAAAAAAATATTCAAAGTCACGAAAAGCAGGGACCTACAGCCAAGAGTGCTCCACCCAGCACAGCTACCGTTTAGAACAGAAGGGCAGATAAGGAGCTTCCCAGACAAGGAAAAACTAAAGGAGTTCTTCACCACCAAACCATTATTATATGAAATGTTAAAGGGACTTATTTAAGGAGAAGAAGATCAAAACTACGAACAATAACATGGCAATAAATACATATCTATCAACAATTAATCTAAAAAATAAACTAAGCAAACAAGAAGAACAGAGACAGAATCATGGATATGGAGTGCATTTTGATGGTTGCCAGGTGGAATGGGTGTGTGAGGAAATGGGTGAAGAGGTGAGGGGATTAAGAAACACTAACTTGTACCTACAGAATAGTCATGGGGACATGAAGTACAGTCTAGGAAATGGAGCAGCCAAAGAACCTATATGTATGACCCATGGACATGAGCAATGGTGGGGGGACTGTCTGAGGGACAGGGGTATGCAGGGTGAAGGGGGACAAAGGGGGGAAAACTAGGACAACAGTGATAGCATAATCATAAAATAAAATAGAAAAAAATCTGAAGCGTAAACCAAAAGGAGAAAATGTGTTTTCAGACAATCTGTGAAAAGAGTTTTAAAAAACAAAGCTGAACAGACAGAACCATTTCAGTGCTGGCTCCTGAAGGGACTGAGCCTTCTGTGCTGGCTTTGTGTGATCAAGAGAAGGAACAGTAAGAAAGAAGCAACGTGGGGGTGTGGGGGCAAGAATCTGGTGAGACCAGGCAATAACCTCAGAGTCAAAAGAAATCTGAAAAAAAAAAAAAAGAAATGTGCTTGTTTTCAAAAAAGTAAAACTAAAGTGTATAAGAGCATGCATGCATAATGGCAGTGACGCACCTCCTAAAATCACCAGTGGGTTAGACAGAGAATGAAGAACAAGGGGAAAGCGGCACAGCCAAGATCCAACTGGAGGACAGGTAGCGCGGAGCCTGCACTCTGCGCAGATCTGACGCAGCACCATCTGGCGCATCTAAAAAACCCAGACACTTGAGGCTTCTCTAATTAGTACTTGTCTTCAGTCATTAGCAGAAAAATAGAGGCTAGGAAATGTTAATTATTGTCGATTTGAACTTTGTTTTCAAAGGTTGCCGTCTCTGCCTTGCACTCTTCCTACTTTACAATTCTGAAAAGTTTTATTATAAAGCCCGGAAAAGGGTAAGAATTCATCCTGCGGTGACAATGCTTTTGTTTTCACCTGGCAAACGTTACTTGGGTCTCAGGTGAGGGAACACAAGAGCTGCCAAGCAGTGACTTGCTTATTTGTTTTATTTTTAGTGACAACCTCAATCCGCTGGAGCCACAGACATGAGCTGGACCCTGACGGTGGTTCGGGAAAGGGCTGCGCACCGGAAAAGCACGAAGCGAAGCAAGGGCCTGGGGGGAGGCATCTCTCTGTGGTTGTCTTCCCTGAGTCGTTTTAACTTTCAGAAAGGTTTAGAATGAACATGCATCATTTGCTAAGAACAAAAACAGCAAACAACCAGCGGTAATGTCTGGAATCATGAGAAACATTAAGAAACCCAAATTAGCCAAAGCTGAGGACTAGAAAAATGGAAGGCATTGAGCAATAACAAAAAAAAGTCACAAGGCGGATGCAGAGGCTCTCTGGATGTTCACTTAACCCAAGAATAGGTACGATAAAGAAAACACGTGGAGAACAGGGAGGTCCGCACACAGGGCATCCTTCCCCAGAAGCCAAGGGAAAAGAAAGATTGTTTTCATGAATCCGAAGGAGCAAGAAGGTGCTGTCTTCTCAAGCTTCGTGCTAAGGGATGAGACAACTAGGACGAAATTACAGGAGAAGGCGGCACAAAGCAAAAGAACCTGGAACAAATGCAGACGGTCTTGGGTGTCTCTGCAGGAGGGCGTGAGGACTGAACAGGGAAGAGGCTATTATAGAATCCGCAGCCTGAAAACGGTGGCATGATGACCATCACTACAGAAGCCCAGCTGACCAGATCGGGTGCCAGTGGACACTCAGCACGTGTGAATGAGCACTGACCCAAGGACATGATGGGTCACGAAAATGTGCCCATGTCTGGAAGCCACAGACTTGGTGCTAGGTTGTGCGCCAGTATATTTAAAGTGATTTGAAAGAGGGAAGAATATCATA